GCGGGGTCTTTGTGGTGATGGCCGGTGGTTGTGCCCTCGCCTGTCTCACTACCTGTTGTGAGTTCATGTGGAAGGCTCGAAAGCTGGCTACTGACGAAGGGGTGAGTCAACGTGGTGGTCGTAGTGGATGATAAAGTTGGTGTATGTAAGAAGTCTTGTGATTTGTGATTTTAGTAAGGTGGAGAAAGGGGACGTGACCTAACTTGAGGTTCAGGAAGACGGTACATATACTTACATTAAATATCTTCCTGTGTCATGGTACTGGTAGCTGATTGTGTCGTTTTACGTCTCTTGACAGGCGTCATTTGGCGGGGAACTGGGCAAGGAGCTGCTGTTCATCATCAACTGCACAGAGAACTCGAAACCCGTGCGCAAGAAAACCTCCCTTGCCTCCTCTGTCTCTGGCTCCTCTAACTATGGCTACTCAGCAGGCAGGAAATGATAATCGCCACGAGAATTAATAACCACTATCTCTCTGTCTCAGTCGTGTGGTGCAGCAAGAGGACTCCAGTACAGTACCTTGGAGCATACAACTAGCGTCCCCAGTACAGGAGATAATGCCTAGGGTGTCAGGATCACGAACAACTCAAAGCAAAGATGCGTTCGTGACTGCAGACATTGATGATCCGTTCGTGATATTATTAGCAGAAAAACGCTACATGAAAACAAAAATATGACTAAAACGACTAAACCAAATGGGAATATATATACACACTAGTTGAATATGATTACCTTTACTGTAGAGAATTATTTAGGATAGTAAGGTAATTCGTCAGTCAAAATACACCTATTATTATGAGTATTATTACTATTGTTATTATACACATTATAAGTATCGTAATTATACCTGTATTTAAACGCTTTACTCTCCTGACTCCTTCATTATATCAATAGTTATATAAAATTTGTAAATTTGTTTTCTTGGATTTAATTCCCTGTTTTGTTGTGTTTCTGGCACCTTATAAACCTGGAGGGAGGGAGGGAGGGAGGGAGGTGTTCTTCTCACGTTGTTGTCGTGTACACAGGGACTCGGGTACACACAGCTTCCGTGTATGCAGTCACGTAGTAAATTTGTTTTTATTAAGACACGAACAAGCTGAATTACACACAGGGTGGGAGGTAAGAGTTCAGTATTCAATGGTCGTCCTCCTCCTGCTCCTGCTCGGGAAAGATTGCCTCAGGTGGGTTACAGGTTAAAGACGGTGTAGATACTTAGATTTTATTAATCTGATGGTTTATGTACACGGTAAATGAGTCCAAACAAATAATACAGAATAATCAGTTATATACAAAGTAACTGACACACTTAAGATGTATTTATCATGTTCCAAGTTGTGGGTTGGGGACCTCGACGACGCCTGAGTATTGCTAGAGATCTTCAACACACTACTTGCCGAAGCAGCCTTGTGAGATACCTGGAGCAGCACAGAGGGCGCTGATGATGACGGTGGAGCCGGCTAAGTAAGAGGTGGAGGTGAGTGTAAGGGTACTTAACACTGTAGACCAGATGGTGAGTCTTTTACCATTTCTATTAATCACTTCACGTTTGCTCCTATGTGGCTCCACCTCCACATCTTCGTCTTCCACCTGACTCCCCTCCAGTAGGCGTTTCATCTCCAAATCCTCCTCGATGATGCTCATATCACTGTAACGAGAGAAGAACACAATGATAAACCACCCAGGGGAAGTTAGTTAACATTTCTAGTGTAAGATTTCATCGTTATAAAGGCAGGACGAGAGGAACATATGCTAACGATGGCCACTTGTTAACGATGGTCACTTGTTAACGATGGCCACTTGTTAACGATGGCCACTTGTTAACGATGGCCACTTGTTAACGATGGCCACTTGTTAACGATGGCCACTTGTTAACGATGGCCACTTTTTACTGTCATATAGGGGGAAATAAAAATAACCTAACCTAACCTAAAGACTTACTCGAGTTCCTCGTAAAGCAATCGTTTCTTGCGGCCAACACAGGGAGGGGGGGCAGCTAATGTTGACACGCAGGTGGACACAGCCGTAATGGTGGTGGTGGCCAACTGCAGCCTGGAGGTGGTGGTGGAGAATGCTAAGATCCTCCCGTGTCTCCTGGGTAAATGATGATGGCTCTTCTCCCCGGCCTCCTCCGTCACCTTACTGGTCTCCTGGCTCCTCTTGTTCTCCTCTACTGCTTCCGAGGCGTTGGCATCTCCCATCATCACGGAGGCCAGTCCCAGGAGGCCGGCTATTATCATCACCATCACCTTCATCTGTCAACAATAATAACAACAACATAAACAACAATCAAAATAACAACGAAACATCAACAACAATCACAACAACAATAGCAACAAATTAATATAATGTAATAATTTCTCGAACATTTGTACTTGATTATATTTATGATTTGTCTAACCTAACCTAACCTAACCTAACCTAAGTCTAGTTCACTCATGAATAACTGTACTGCCCTCTAACCCTCATTTCACCACAACCAACCAACCAGCCAACCACCCAACCAACCAGCCAATCAACCAAACTAACCTTGACTCGTTTAGGAAGACTCAGGCGAAGACTCTACTGAAGGCTTCTATATATACACACACATCCCTCTGACTATTCCTCCACCTCACACACAGGAAAAAAACAACACCTACAACATTTACCTCCCTAGGAATTAATACTTTCCTCTCACATCTACGACTAATTACAACCTCTAATTAATTATATCCTATCTTAATTATCCCTCTTAACATGATAGAAGTAATGGATACATGATGGTTAGTTGTGTTTGAAGTATTATCAAAAGGGTTCTTCCTCGTCAAGAATAGGAAGATTTATTTATCATTAACTCGTCTGTGTCTTGATGCTAAATATACACACACGCTGGGAGAGGTTGGGTGCGTGCAAGGCAATCACGGAGGCAGTACTTCTCTTGTGGCCCTGGAGGTAAGACTGTGTGGAGGTTAAGACTGTGTGGAGGTTAAGACTGTGTGGAGGTTAAGACTGTGTGAGATAAGACTGTGTGAGGTAAGACTGTGTGAGGTTAAGATTGTGTGGAGGTTAAGACTGTGTGAGGTTGAGACTGTTTTGAGGTTAAGACTGTGTGGAGGTTAAGACTGTGTGGAGGTTAAGACTGTGTGAGGTAAGACTGTGTGGTGGTTAAGACTGTGTGGAGGTTAAGACTGTGTGAGGTTAAGACTGTGTGGAGGTTAAGACTGTGTGAGGTTAAGACTGTGTGAGGTTAAGACTGTGTGGAGGTTAAGACTGTGTGAGGTTAAGACTGTGTGAGGTTAAGACTGTGTGAGGTAAGACTGTGTGAGGTTAAGACTGTGTGGAGGTTAAGACTGTGTGGAGGTTAAGACTGTGTGAGGTAAGACTGTGTGGAGGTTAAGACTGTGTGGTGGTTAAGACTGTGTGGAGGTTAAGACTGTGTGAGGTAAGACTGTGTGGAGGTTAAGACTGTGTGAGGTTAAGACTGTGTGAGGTTAAGACTGTGTGAGGTAAGACTGTGTGAGGTAAGACTGTGTGAGGTTAAGATTGTGTGGAGGTTAAGACTGTGTGGAGGTTAAGACTGTGTGGAGGTTAGGACTGTGTGGAGGTTAGGCATTATTATTTGGATTATTATTGTAACAGGGAAGGGGCCGACAGCTGGGCCTCCTTCAGGTCACACGTGAGTCATTGTCAGAGCAATCCATAGGGTGAGTTACTTACGGTGGGAAGTGTATCCATTTAATGTGTGTGTCTGAGTCTAGTAACTTCGATATATTGATCAATTAATGTGTCTGTGTTATTCCTCACTTAACGAGTTCTCCCTTATTACATAACATTCCTCAACAGGTGTGTGTGTGTAACATTCCTCAACAGGTGTGTGTGTAACATTCCTCAACAGGTGTGTAGTGTGTCTCAGTAGGTATATATATAGCCTTCCAGCCCAGCCTCACTTAACCTTAGCTTCAGTTCACTCGTCAGGTTTTAATAAGTAATAAAACCACAAGTCATCAATGGTTTATAAATATATATATTGTGTTTATTTACTAACATATATACACGAGGAAGACAGTCCATATAACGTAACTATATAATACATAATAAATTAAATCCTTATTGAGTTTCCGTAATAATAGTTCGAGACGCCAAGTTGCCTATGGTGCCATCTTTTGACCAGGCGAGGACCCAGTGCACGACGTTGAAGGGATCGGAGGAGGCGGTGAAGGTGTTATTACTTGCCGAAACATCCTTGGGTCACGCCGGGAGCTGCACACAGAGCACTGATTGTGACGGTAGTTCCGGCAACATAGGAAGTTGAGGTGAGGGTAAGGGTACTGATGTTAGTAGACCAGATGGTGAGTTTTTTACCATCTCTCTCATTCACTACCTCACGTTCTTGTCGTTCCATCTGGATACCTAGATCTTCGTCGTCGTTTACTTGACTCCCCGACAGAGATAAGGTTCCAGTATTCAAGGAGTCATCAACAAAAATTCTGAAGAAGGTGGAATGGAATTTGAGATTAGTAGATATAATTTAAATCAATAAGGTATTAAATATTTCACTACTCGCATGCCGTAGGTGAGAGAGAGAGAGAGTAAAAACCTAATTTATTCTCACTAACGTTACCTGCCTGATTTACCTACTTTACTTACCATCAATATCAACTATTATTATCTGCAGTTGTAATTTCAGGGTTACCACACTCACTTTGTTGTTGTTTTGGTAATGGCGATGGTAATGGTGTTAATATTTCTTAACACATAACTCACAACACGATCACTAAATTATGTGGAGGGTTGTATGATATGGAATGATATGTGACGTGGAAGGTTATAGTGACGTGGAAGGTTATAGTGACGTGGAAGGTTATGTGGCGAGGGTTATGTGGCGTGGATAATGATGTAGCGTGGATGATTATGTGGCGTGGATGGTTATGTGGCGTGGAATATTATGAAGCATGGATGGTTATGTATACCCCTGACATATAACAACAACAGACAACTTACTGCATATTGTCGATAATCGCCTTCTTCTTGCGGCCAGTACACGGAGTACCAGCGACAGTAGACACACAGGTGGACAGAGCCGTGATGGTGACTGTAGCAAGAGCTTTGGAAGAAGTGGTGGTGTAGAACGCGAAGATCCTATGTTCTCTCTCAGTATCCCCCATCAATCCTACTGATGCTAAGGGCCTGGCTACCTCAGGAACAGCTATCACCGCTGCTAGACCCATCACGCCGGCCAACACCACCACCACCACTTTCATCTGGGTAAAGGTAAAAGTTTCAATACAATATGTTAGTTATATATCATGTTGGCGTATATCATGTTGGCGTATATCATGTTGGCGTATATCATGTTGGCGTATATCATGTCATATATCATGTTGTCGTATATCATGTTGGCGTATATCATGCTGTCGTTTATCATGTTGGCGTATATCATGTTGGCGTATATCATGTTGGCGTATATCATGTTGTCATATATCATGTTGTCGTATATCATGTTGGCGTATATCATGTTGTCGTATATCATGTTGTCGTATATCATGCTCATACCTTCGACTGTGGGGTAGAATGAGACCCCAGACCACAGCCGACTGACCCCAGACCACAGCCGACTGACCCCAGACCCTAGACCACAGCCGACTGACCCCAGACCCTAGACCACAGCCGACTGACCCCAGACCCTAGACCACAGCCGACTGACCCCAGACCCTACTACAGCTGACTGGACTCAGACCAGACCACAGCCGACTGGACCCCAGACCCCAGACCACAGCTGACTGGACCCCAGACCCTAGACCAGCCGACTGACCCCAGACCCTAGACCACAGCCGACTGACCCCATACCCAGGGCCACAGCCGACTGATTCCCCAGACCACAGCTGACTGACCCCAGACCACAGCCGACTGACCCAGACCACAGCCGACTGACCCCTGACCACAGCCGACTGACCCCAGACCACAGCCGACTGACTCTTAGACCCTAGACCACAGCCGACTGACCCCAGACCCTAGACCACAGCCGACTGACCCCAGACCCCAGACCACAGCCGACTGACCCCAGACCCCAGACCACAGCTGACTGACCCTAGACCCCAGACCACAGCCGACTGGACCCTAGACCACAGCCGACTGACCCCAGACCCTAGACCACAGCCGACTGACCCCAGACCCCAGACCCACAGCCGACCCCCAGACCACAGCCGACTGCAGAACGACAGAGCAACAGACGTATATTAACAACATGTTCTGGCCGAGAGAGTTGGTAAAGAGCAGGTGTGTGAGTTACAGGTGTTGAGCAGGTGTGTGTGTGTGAGTTACAGGTATTGAGCAGGTGTGTGTGAGTTACAGGTATTGAGCAGGTGTGTGTGTGTGTGTGTGTGAGTTACAGGTGTTGAGCAGGTGTGTGTGTGTGTGTGAGTTACAGGTGTTGAGCAGGTGTGTGTGTGTGTGTGTGTGTGAGTTACAGGTGGTGAGCAGGTGTGTGTGTGTGAGTGAGCTAAGGTATTGAGCAGGTGTGTGTGTGTGTGTGTGTGAGTTACAGGTGTTGAGCAGGTGTATGTGTGTAAGATACAGGTGTTGAGCAGGTGTGTGTGTGAGTTACAGGTGTTCCTCTGCCCCTTTTACACCTTCCTACTGTACCTCTCTCACAGTATTACGTTACGTTAGGTTACGTTAGGTTACGTTAGGTTACGTTAGGTTACGTTAGGTTACGTTAGGTTACGTTAGGTTAGGATTTTGAACAGCTGTGTAGGTGTTTCTGCAGTGTTGCTACATCAGCGTCTTGTCTTGCTGCTACCTTGCCAAATCTCATTGTGTCGTCCGCAAACTTGACACTGTGACTTGATATATTTTAAATCATGTCGTTTAGGTAGATAGCGGACGGTGAGAGAGAGAGAGAGAGAGAGAGAGAGAGAGAGAGAGAGAGAGAGAGAGAGAGAGAGAGAGAGAGAGAGAGAGAGAGAGACGCCATTATGTTAACCAAGGTGAATGTGTCAGGGGTTAGAGGGTGTCCTGGCCAGTATTCCACCCGCTAAAAATGGCCAACTTATCATCACCACACGACCACCACCACTATCACCACCAACCTTGATACACTGTAGAGAGGAGTGACAGACACACACAAACAAGCAGACAACCAAGCAGAAGACGGTGCTTATATACACTACCCAATGCTTCCTCCTCCACCGAACATCTCACTTGGAGGAGAGAGAGGGGGGGGGAGAGGGAGGGAGATAGGGAGAGAGAGAGAGAGAAGGAGGGAGAGGGAGAGAGAAAGATGAAGGGACTTGCAACTATTTAAAAAACTCCTATGGTAAGTGACTCGCCTATATTTCTACTAAACACTACTATATCAACGTAACCTAACCTAACCTAACCTAACCTAACCCAGGAAGATAATATCGGAAGTATTTTCCTGGTTGTGACGCAAAAAAAAATTGTCGAATTATTTTGGTTTTTCGTTTGACTTTCCTTTTAATATGTGACCCAGTGCTTAGTCCGGGGAGTGAGTGGTGAGGGTGGTGGTGAGAGGTGAGGGTGGTGGTGAGAGGTGAGGGTGGTGGTGAGAGGTGAGGGTGATCAGTGCCGGATTTAGACCTGTGGAGGCCCCCCCTCATTATAACTACCCAAGAGGGTGGGGTTGCGAGTGAAGCGAGCCTAAACATCTGAAATTTGAACACTTCTTTGGAGAATTTTGAAGCCATATGCAGTTATATTGAGGAAATTAGAACATTGAGAAATTTTTTAATAAACTGTATATTTATTGATAGTGTACAAATTTCCAACACACACACATAAGTGGAGTCATTCATGTGGTTTCAAGTCGGTTCATAGGAAAACCAGGTATTCATGAATTTCAAGGAGTAGCTAGCCTAATTTCTATCACGCTTCTTACTGAACATAGTTTTACGTGATGGAATAAATAAACATGAATTTTAAAGAATGAAAATAAAAATAATCCAAATGAATAAACAAATAAATAAAATATTGTAATATGTGGAGGCCCCCAGATTGTGGAGGCCCCTGAGCAGCTGCCCACTTTGCCCACTCCTGAATCCGGCCCTGAGGGTGATAGTGAGAGGTGAGGCTTCATATGGTAGTTTAAGCCACATAATCATGGTAGTTTAGGCCACATAATCATGGTAGTTTAAGCCACATAATCATGGTAATTTAGGCCACATAATCATGGTAGTTTAGGCCACATAATCATGGTAGTTTAGGCCACATAATCATGGTAATTTAGGCCACATAATCATGGTAGTTTAGGCCACATAATCATGGTAGTTTAAGCCACATAATCATGGTAATTTAGGCCACATAATCATGGTAGTTTAGGCCACATAATCATGGTAGTTTAAGCCACATAATCATGGTAGTTTAGGCCACATAATCATGGTAATTTATGGTAGTTAGGTTAAAATGGACCGATTAATACACCGGGTTATATTTTTCATTTTATTAAATAAATAAATAAAAAACAATGGAGCATTATGTACAAGGGAGAATGAGTCCAAACAAACAATGAAACAAACAAATAAACGAAGTGTCTCCGGGCGTGTTCCGTCCTGTGTGTGGCTGGCCCTTGAGGGTGACACTTGAGGTTAACACTTGAGGGTGACACTTGAGGTTAACACTTGAGGTTGATCCTAGAGGTTGGCCCTTGAGGATAACACTTGAGGTTAACACTTGAGGTTGACCCTTAAGGATAACGCTTGAGGTTGACCCTTGAGGTTGACCCTAGAGGCTGGCCCTTAAGGATAACACTTAAGGTTAACACTTAAGGTTGACCCTCAAGACTGAGACTCGGCCCCATTACTTCTTACCAAAACAGCCAGCCGTGACACCCGGAGCACTACAGAGGGCGGAGGCGGTGACGGTGGTACCAGCAAGATAGGAGGTTGAGGTGACAGTCAAGGTGGAGAAATTGGTTGACCAGATGGTGAATTTTCTACCATCTCTATCTTCCACCACTTTCTGGCTCACCTCTGGCTCCTCCTCCCCCTCCTGCGTCTCCTCCAGGAAGTCTTGGCTCCCCGACAGCTCTCCTGGCCAGTGTAGAACGTCTTCCAAGAATCTACGACAAGATAGAGAGAATATTTTTTATTTATTTTAACACCAGGCTTAATAATAACCACCAGAGTCAGTACATGTCCCGTACTTGTCAACAGTGTGTAACAGAGAGTCAGTACATGTCCCGTACTTGTCAACAGTGTGTAACAGAGAGTCAGTACATGTCCCGTACTTGTCAACAGTGTGTAACAGAGAGTCAGTACATGTCCCGTACTTGTCAACAGTGTGTAACAGAGAGTCATTACATGTCCCGTACTTGTCAACAGTGTGTAACAGAGAGTCAGTACATGTCCGTACTTGTCAACAGTGTGTAACAGAGAGTCAGTACATGTCCCGCACTTGTCAACAGTGTGTAACAGAGAGTCAGTACATGTCCCGTACTTGTCAACAGTGTGTAACAGAGAGTCAGTACATGTCCCGTACTTGTCAACAAAGGAAAATGAAAATGAAATTAACCTCCACAAGACACAAAAAACAGTAAGATCCAACAGGTAGACCATTAACAGTAAGAGCCAACAGGTAGACCATTAACAGTAAGATCCAACAGGTGGACCATTAACAGTAAGAGCCAACAGGTAGACCATTAACAGTAAGATCCAACAGGTGGACCATTAACAGTAAGAGCCAACAGGTAGACCATTAACAGTAAGATCCAACAGGTAGACCATTAACAGTAAGAGCCAACAGGTGACCATTAACAGTAAGATCCAACAGGTAGACCATTAACAGTAAGAGCCAACAGGTAGACCATTAACAGTAAGAGCCAACAGGTAGACCATTAACAGTAAGATCCAACAGGTAGACCATTAACAGTAAGATCCAACAGGTAGACCATTAACAGTAAGAGCCAACAGGAGACTAAAAAAGTAAGAGCCAACAGGTAGACCATTAACAGTAAGATCCAACAGGTGGACCATTAACAGTAAGAGCCAACAGGTAGACCATTAACAGTAAGATCCAACAGGTACCATTAACAGAAGAGCCAACAGGTAGACCATTAACAGTAAGATCCAACAGGTAGACCATTAACAGTAAGATCCAACAGGTAGACCATTAACAGTAAGAGCAACAGGTAGACCATTAACAGTAAGAGCCAACAGGTAGACCATTAACAGTAAGATCCAACAGGTGGACCATTAACAGTAAGAGCCAACAGGTAGACCATTAACAGTAAGATCCAACAGGTAGACCATTAACAGTGGAGATCCAACAGGTAGACCATTAACAGTAAGAGCCAACAGGTAGACCATTAACAGTAAGATCCAACAGGTAGACCATTAACAGTAAGATCCAACAGGTAGACCATTAACAGTAAGATCCAACAGGTAGACCATTAACAGTAAGAGCCAACAGGTAGACCATTAACAGTAAGAGCCAACAGGAAACATTAACAGTAAGATCCAACAGGTGGACCATTAACAGTAAGATCCAACAGGTAGACCATTAACAGTAAGATCCACAGGTAGACCATTAACAGTAAGATCCAACAGGTAGACCATTAACAGTAAGATCCAACAGGTAGACCATTAACAGTAAGAGCCAACAGGTACCATTAACAGTAAGAGCCAACAGGTAGACCATTAACAGTAAGATCCAACAGGTAGACCATTAACAGTAAGATCCAACAGGTAGACCATTAACAGTAAGAGCCAACAGGTAGACCATTAACAGTAAGATCCAACAGGTGGACCATTAACAGTAAGATCCAACAGGTAGACCATTAACAGTAAGATCCAACAGGTAGACCATTAACAGTAAGATCCAACAGGTGACCATTAACAGTAAGAGCCAACAGGTAGACCATTAACTGTAAGAGCCAACAGGTGGACCATTAACAGTAAGAGCCAACAGGTAACCATTAACAGTAAGATCCAACAGGTGGACCATTAACAGTAAGAGCCAACAGGTAGACCATTAACAGTAAGAGCCAACAGGTAGACCATTAACAGTAAGATCCAACAGGTAGACCATTAACAGTAAGATCCAACAGGTAGACCATTAACAGTAAGAGCCAACAGGTAGACCATTAACAGTAAGAGCCAACAGGTAGACCATTAACAGTAAGATCCAACAGGTGGACCATTAACAGTAAGATCCAACAGGTAGACCATTAACAGTAAGATCCAACAGGTAGACCATTAACAGTAAGATCCAACAGGTAGACCATTAACAGTAAGAGCCAACAGGTAGACCATTAACAGTAAGATCCAACAGGTGGACCATTAACAGTAAGAGCCAACAGGTAGACCATTAACAGTAAGAGCCAACAGGTACCATTAACAGTAAGAGCCAACAAGTAGACCATTAACAGTAAGAGACCAACAGTAGATAGGACCATTAACAGTAAGAGCCAACAGGTAGACCATTAACAGTAAGATCCAACAGGTGGACCATTAACAGTAAGAGCCAACAGGTGGACCATTAACAGTAAGATCCAACAGGTAGACCATTAACAGTAAGAGCCAACAGGTAGACCATTAACTGTAAGAGCCAACAGGTAGACCATTAACAGTAAGATCCAACAGGTGGACCATTAACAGTAAGAACCAACAGGTAGACCATTAACAGTAAGATCCAACAGGTAGACCATTAACAGTAATTAACCAACAGGTAGACCATTAACAGTAAGATCCAACAGGTAGACCATTAACAGTAATTAACCAACAGGTAGACCATTAACTTACTCCATGTTCTTAAAAGCCGACTTTCTCTTCCTTCCGACACAGGCGGCGGTATCAACACTGAGGCAGGTGGAGAGAGCGGTGATTGTGGTGGTGGCAAGCCGGGTGACAGAGGTTGAAGTGTAGTAAGCGAACACCCGTGATTGTCTGGCTTTCAGGTCGTCATTCACCACAGCATCGCCTCCTTCATCGACTTCAGATTGGGATACGAAATTCTTGTTGTTGTTGTCGTTGTTGTGGTGGTTGGTGTGTTGTTCCGTTGAGGCAATTGCTGCTGCCAGGCCCATTATGACGGTTATCACCACCACCGCGACCTTCATCTGTGTGTGTATATGTGTATGTGTGTTAGTATTAGGATATCAATATACGGGAAGAAATAATAATAATCTCACAAACTCACAACACAAGAGAGGACAGAACATAAATTTCGCGGGTAAAACATTGCTACACAGAACACAATATTGGAACTATAGTTGAAGAGTTATTTTTGTAATTTCATGTATAGACTTTAAAATAACGTTAAGAGCCAGATAGTTGTGGCTCTTGATGGAGGGAGGGAGATGAGGGAGGGGAGAGAGTAATTTATCTGATAGCTATTCAGAGTCCCACAGGTTAAGTGTACTCTGTCAGGGGTCAGGGGTCAGATTTCTATATTTCTATCGTGTTAATATTTACCTAACTTAATTCTCGCCTCTTTACAAGTCTCTATTCGGCCTTACAACACCACTAAATATATCTCTCCCTGTCTATATATTTCACCAACACACACACACTCACACACACACACGCACACACACACGCAGATCAACACCCTCACACTGGCTGTCTCCTTACACCACAACACGGCCGTACAACCACCAACCTTGATGTCCTGAAGTAGTCCATTGAAGGTATCCAGCAAAGGGGTTATATACACATCCCTCACCTCCCCTACCTCCTCTACCTCCCCCTCTAACGGAAGTATGGGTAAAATACACCCCTCCCCCCTCCTCCCCTTTCCCCCCCCCCTATCTCCCCCCTTTTCTTACCCCTCCATTGCCCTGGGTTGAGGAAAATCATCCCCCCCTCCTCTTAACTATATCAACATGGCAGAAACTCACAGAAAGTTCCTCTACGATTTTTAATTATTATTTTTTTTATATATTTTATTGGCGTGTTTGTCGACAATAGAATTCATCAACAGTGGATATATAATTTACGATGTGTGTCATGCATTCGAGGTGGGGTCAACCAACAGCCACGTAGAGAGAAATTGAGGTGAGGTATTTTTTCGAAGACTTTCCTGGTTGGTTGTACCGGAGGGGTGTGTGTCGAGGTGGCCGCTTGGCTGAGTTGAGCCACATAGACAGACAGACTGGTGGGTTGTCCTCCAGTGTGTTGGTGATCTTCTCTGCTACTAGGAGACGACGGAGGCCATGGTGAAGGAATAAGTGTTTAAGGATGGGAGACGTTACAAAGGAGACAAGAGCTAGGAGACCACAGACTATACCTACGAGGCTGAACAAAACAAAACTACATACAGTATCTTTATAATATTTCCCAAAGACTTGCTACATAAGAACTATATATATTTAGCCTATGTATATACTGTATATATATTTACTTGGAAATTCCCGACCACAAAGATTTTATTTATTTATTTATTTATTTATTTATTTATGTGTTCATTTATTTGTTTATTTATTTCTTTATTTATTTATTTTATTAACTTCTTTTTTAGCTGGTCAATGAACTCCGTGTTGACAAATTAACTTACTAAGGAAGGCTTTGGTATAGTCAACAGTCCTGCACAGAGTTACCAAATGAACAATTATAACAACAATGATATTCCCGGTATTATTATTATTATTATTATTATTATTATTATTATTATTTTTTTTTTTTTTATTATTATTATTATTATTATTATTATTACTGTAGGTTACATTAGAAGTTTATTAATCTGTCTTAGCGGCGTCACACACACACTCACATATAACGAGATTTATATGGTCTTATAATTTTAAACAAAGTATTATGGTATTTATTTTATTATTCCCTTATATTATATGTACACACGAGAGAGATACTGAGCTTTACATAACGCATAAAACAACAACAACAAGAACAATACAGTCAGTTCAGTAGTCAAACAGTTAATGAATTTTTGTTGGGTGACAGTCATCTTCGTCTTCTGACTGGTAGAACTTCCTTCATCTGGTCCTCTGACTGGTAGAACTTCCTTCATCTGGTCTTCTGACTGGTAGAACTTCCTTCATCTGGTCTTCTGACTGGTAGAAGTTCCTTCATCTGGTCTTCTGACTGGTAGAACTTCCTTCATCTGGTCCTCTGACTGGTAGAACTTCCTTCATCTGGTCCTCTGACTGGTAGAACTTCTTACATTTGGTCCTCTGACTGGTGAAACTTCCTTCATCTGATCTTCTGTCTGTTAGAACTTCCTTCATCTGGTCCTCTGACCGGTAGAACTTCCTTCATCTGGACACTGACTGGTGATAAAGACACAATTAACTGGAAGATATCGAAGACGTCTACAAAAACCTGGGTGTCATCTGAGGGGGCCAAGCCAAGCCAAGCTATCTACCCTAAGAAGCAGCCAGCAGTGAGCCCCGGGGCGGAACAGAGAGCGGACGCCGTGATAGTGGTTCCTCCCTGGGCGACGGTGCTGGTTATCGTCAGGGTGGTGAAGAAGGACGTCCATATGGTAAAGGCCTTCCCTGTTCTATCCTCACCTGACGAAGTAGAAGATGGATCGTCAGCCTCGTGGTTCTCCTTGTGGCTGCTGTCCAAGTAGGAAGACAGCAGGTCGTTTACTTCATCATCCTTCATACTGGAGGAGGAGGATGGACATTGTAGAGCATTATAGAAGTGTCAAGTATTATAGAACATTATTAAGGAGAACTATAGCACTGTAAACACACAAGAACGTTTTGTGTGTGTGTGTGTGTGTGTGTGTGTGTGTGTGTGTGTGTGTGTGTGTGTGTGTGTTACAAAAAATAAAACAAATCTTACAGTTTAAAGGAATCCCTCTTCCTGCGGCCGAGACAGGGAGTAGCAGAGACAGAGAGACAGGTAGTGAGGGAGGTGACGGTGACGGAGGCGAAGAGGGTGACAGAGGTGCTGCTGACCACCCCAAATAACCTCATCTTCCTCTCGTCGTCATCTGCAGCAGCCACCACCACAGCCAACGACACCACCACCACAGCCAACGACACCACCACCACCACCGCCTTGCCGACTCCCACCATCTGTGACGTCATTTATATATAGTTAGATTTCTCCATTTAATCCGTTATATCGAGGGTTTCCCAGCTGACAGACCCTTGATATAATGGACCCTCAGTCACACATCTGACCGACCCTCGATATAACGAACTTTCACCTCTCTATAATCCGTTATATCGAGGGTTTCACATCTGATAGACCCTCAATATAATGGACCCTCAGTCACACATCTGACCGACCCTCGATATAATGAACTTTCACCTCTCTATAATCCGTTATATCGAGGGTTTCACATCTGATAGACCCTCAATATAATGGACCCTCAGTCACACATCTGACCGACCCTCGATATAATGAACTTTCACCTCTCTATAATCCGTTATATCGAGGGTTTCACATCTGCCATACCCTCGATATAACGAAACTTTCCTCTCCATACTAACACCACTACAACCATCATCACTACACTACCACCATCACCATAATAATAATAATAATAATAATGGTTGCCCCTCGTGTAACGAGGATGGCCGCCCCAAGGACCACCGAGGCGTGAATTTGTTTAAGGTGTAGAAGCTGTCGCCAACACAACAACCACACACTAAGTTAACGAGCTGCATGACCCAGTGTCAAGGAATAGTCCGAGAAGACCGGACAACTCGCCAACTGCACTGGCTAACCATTACCCCGGAACACGATCCGCAAATCGATTAACATCCAGGTCCCCAATTACTGCTGGGTAGACAGAGGCAAATGGCGTAAAGAAACTTGTCCATAGTTTCACCCTGCCCGGGGATCGAACTCGGGTCCGCTCTCTTGCTAGGCGAGGATGCCCACCACTACCACCATCACCATTATTACCGCCACTACCATCACTACCACCATCACATCCAGGGGTCGTCATTCTCAAAGTTCCCTTACGTACAGGTACAAAATCACCCGCCATCTATTATTTTCGTTGTTTTCGCCAATCAGTAACGATCTCTCTCACCCACAAGATAGGAGTATAACTTAACGTAGTCATGTTATAAGGCTCCGTGTTATAAGACTCCGTGCTATTGGACTCCGTGTTATTGGACTCCGTGCTATAAGACTCCGTGCAAAAAAAGGCTTCTTGCTATAAGATTCGGTGTTAAAAGACTCCTTGCTACATGGCTCCGTGTTAAAAGACTCCGTGTTATAAGACTCCAAGATCGCCAGGTCGGGTCGTACCTTGAATAGCGTAATGAGAAAACCTAACACCTGCCCAACCTTTATATATCCTGTACAGCGCCACGAGTTTTCCGACGGTGACCAGGGTATAGCCACGTCGACGCCATTATCTAAGGGGACACTCCTGTGATTATATTTACCTTTATCTTTCTCTATAATAAATATCTAGATGAATATTTATCCCTAAGGTGTAGATATCATATTATATTAGATGTATTTGTTCCATTTTTGGGGGGAGAGGGGGAGGGGAATATTGGAACGACGTGCTTTTAAGGAGGAAAACTTGAACGCTTTTAAAATTAACCCCCAACGTCGCCAGCCATCATTGTCACCCCTTAACCACAAACATCTATGATTAATGACTTTCTTGGTTTATTTCTCTCAACTTTTTTGCTAAACATTATCAATAGAGCCTTAAAGATGTTTGAAAATAATTAAGTTAATAAATAGATACGTGTTATTAAAGATTAATTGTGGTTTTCCTGCAAGCGCTTGTGTACCTAAATCCTGAGTGTTTTCCTGAAGTGGATGTGGTGTCTGCTTGAGCTTATTGGTGTGTTGGTGTTGTGTCTGAGTGGTTGTCTGTCTGGCTGTCTGAGTGTCTGTCTGTTGTATCTGAGTGTCTATCTGTTGTGTCTGCGTGTCTGTCTGTCGTTTCTGAGTGTCTGTCTCTTGAGTCTGTTATATACTAGTAATTAAAATCATATATCCCCTTGAATTCAACTAATTACTTACACATAATCGGTTAATGAATAAAACGTAAATAATTATAAGAACTTTAATGAGAAGAAAACTACATTACAAATATTCTTATAATAAATACATAGCTCCTTAACGCCTCTCTCTGGGGTTGGTTGAGGTGGGCGTGGAACCTGTCATGGGCGTCTCTCTGGGGTTGTGATGGGCGTGAGACTTTTCCGTGGGCGTAGGCGGGGTAGTACATTAAAACGACTCTCTCTTCGCCCATCTGTTGACCGCCAGTAAGGCCTCCTCTAGGAACGACATGGTAGTCATCTGGTCGTGGGCGTGGGCGTAAAGGTCGTCGTGGGCGTGATGGGCCTGGTGTGTGTTGGAGTTGTAGCGACGGCGACGTGTGATGGGCGCCTCTCTCAGGAAGTTGAAGATGATGCCAAGCAGCCAGATCATGCTGAGTGTTAAGACGACTCCGATGAATATGCTGAGCTGCAGGAGAGAGAGAGAGAGAGAGAGAGAGAGAGAGAGAGAGAGAGAGAGAGAGAGAGAGAGTAAATCATTAACCTTGCATATATCAGAATCTTTATTTCTACCTATATCTATATCTACATTAATATCTATATCTACATTAATATCTATATCTACATTAATATCTATATCTACTTTAATATCTATATCTACATTAATATCTATATTTGTATCTACACTTATACTATTAATATCCCTATTCTAATTGATTAAAAAAAACATTAAGTGAAATGATGACAAACGTATACACGATTCTCACCTCCGTATTATCTAACAAATTGCTGTTTTTATCAATCATGGAAATTGTGGTGGTGGTCTCAGGTTCCCTCTTGGTGGTGGTAAAGTCAGCCATTGTGGTGTCAGAATAGGTGCTCCACTCTGATGCCTCTCCGGGAAGGTTTTGTTTCTACTTCAGGTACGTCCTCCTTCTACTGCCTCTCCGGGTAAGGTTGTCCCTCCCTCCAGCTGCTCCGACAACACCGAGTCTGATGTGGGTCACGAGTCAACAGCTTACTGGTGACCTCAGCTGATCTGATACACCACAGGAACGGACTTGGAGGGGGGCGTGTCTCCAGGGAGGCGTACTCTGACCTGACCCTCAAACAGGTCGACCCGTGGCTCAGAATAGCACAACCTGAGATTAATGGTTAAGATAGGTAGAGGGAAGAAGATGGAGGGAGAGAGAGGGAGGTAGAGGTAGGGAGATGAGGGAGAATGATCGAAGGAGAGAAGGAGGGAAGGAGGGAAGGAAGGAGGGATATGAAGGGATTCTAATTTGGGCGTTAATATTAATAAGCCTAAGGACAACTGATAGTGTACCTTAACAGTCTAATTTTATGAAGATATCCACACACACACACACACAGATACTTTCACACACACACACACACACACACACACACACACACACACACACACACACACCCCTCCCACAGGTGGCGGGTGGGGAGAGGAAGGAGAGCTGTCATCGTGGGACAGTCACTGCTCTGTCCTCTGTCTGCTCTCCAGGTCACCGCTAACTCCTGCTCCCCTGCTGCCACGTGAGTACCTGTACCCGTAAATACAGTATATATATTCTTGTATTTTGTATCTGTACTTGTATCTGTGGCTATATTAATATTGTAACTGTATTCTGTATCTGACGACCCGCTTGTATCGCCTCCCTCAGGTGGTGAGATGCGGGGATTTGTCCTGTTCATGGTGGTCGTGGTGCTGTTGCTACTCCTTCTGACCCCCCTGGCCTATGGAGAGCAGGTGCGTGTGTGTGCAGGTGCGTGTGTGTGTGTGTGTGTGTGTGTGTGTGTGTGTGTGTGTGCGACTAACTTGCAGGACCTAACACAATATAACAATCTCTCTCCTCCTCTCCAGGTTCCTGAAGGTGGGTCTTCAAGTGAAGGCGTTTCACCTGGTGCAGCAGGTCATGGGGACACCTTCCTCCTGACGGCGGAGTACCTGAGAGGGCGGCCGCTGTTCCATGATCTCCCGCAGGATAATGAGAGGGTCGGTTTGGTTGTACTGTATATACAGATAATATAGCAGGAAGCTCTCTGTCTGTAGAGAGAGAGAGAGAGAGAGAGAGAGAGAGAGAGAGAGAGAGAGAGAGAGAGAGAGAGAGAGAGAGTGACAAACAAGCATAATAAGACACCATGCTATTGTACTATTCCAGATGATATTAAATATTACATAATATTTCCTTGAGATAAATGTACAGTATATATCAGGTGCCTAAAAGAGAGCTCAGGTTCTCAACTGGCTCAGCCATGTTAATAATGTTATTATTATCCACTCTGTATCTGTGTTTTTCTGGCTAAAAACTGTTTTAATTCAATTCAGAGAATAAGAAAACCAACCAAAATGTAAATTTCATATAGTTTACCCTAAAATTAATTTTTCTATGATTGGATGATATTTCAGGGGTAACATAGCTAAAACAAGTGTTAGTACAGGAAGAAACCGGAACATTATTATTATTATTATTATTATTATTATTATTATTATTATTATTATTATTATTATTATTATTATTATTATTATTATTATTATTATTATTATTATTATTATTATTATTATTATTATTATTACTATTTTTGTAATTATTATTTGTTTTTATTATTATTATTATTATTATTATTATTATTATTATTATTATTATTATTATTATTATTAATAATAATACTATTATTATTATTATTGCCAGGAACATCAGCAAATTACATCCAACATTCTACGACGCAGCGCCTACGTGGGTAGACCAGATGACCACAACATTATTACCAACAACCACACGCTGAGGCACCCAACCGATAGTGACCAATTGACACCAGCACTACACACGCCCAAACTGTCGTCTGCATCATCTCCAAACACGCCCACGGTGCCCTATTCACGATCTAACACCCCCACGATAACATACTCACGACCTAACACGCCCACACCTTTTAGAATTGCAAATACTCCTAGGTTCTCCTCTCCCGGACGATCGAAGTCTCCACATAGCCTTCCCACCAAAATTTACCATAATCGACCTTCCCGACCTCCTCGATCCAGAAACAATAACATCTTCGTCAGGAGTCGACAACCTCTCAAGACCCGTAAGTTCCCTCCTCCGCCCCG